CAGCTCGCCACGTGCGCGGGGACGCGGGGCTGTGCTCCGCGCCTCTGCGGGCTTCCACGGCGGAAAGCGGGGCTGCGTGCCTATAGTTCTGTGGGGTTTCTTGTTTTGTTTTTTTTTTTTAAAGCATTTTGGATAGCGTGATGTCTTCCTGAAGTACGCTGTTAAATCCTTATTTTAGGAACAGCAGTTCATAAATGCCGGGAATTTGGTTCTCAAATGAAAGAGAAGTCTCTTGAAACTTGCCGATGGTTATTTTTAAGCTTTTTTTTTTTCCCTTCCTGGGGACGAAGGTTGAAAATCACTGGTACAACTAGGTGATACTATTTGCAGTATTACTTGTAATTTTGGGTTGTTACATAGCCTCGGTAAAGTTGGAGCCCCATTCTGCGAACTGCTGTTCAGGCGGTGCTGCATCGTGTGTCACGTCTTGGAGCTGGGAATCCCGAGGCAGGAAGGAAAGGAGAATCCAAAATACAGCGGGAGTTTTTTGCAGGCCTGTGACACGTTGATTTTGTGGGTTTTTGTTTTTTTTGATGTTCACAGTAGAAAAAAATAGGAAGGAAATAGGTGGTATGGCTGGTGGGGTAGGAAGCTGAGAAGAGAGGTGAAAAGGAAAGGCAGACAGTGAGAAGTTGTGGTGACAGCATCACAGAAGTTGCAGAGCAGAGGGGAAAAAGTAAAGGATAACCTATAGCAAGGCAGCAGGTAAGAAGAGAGCAAGGGGAGAAAGTAACAAAACAAAGCAGATATTTTATTTGGGCTGCATCTCCTTTGGTAAAGAGCGCCTGGGGAAGTTGCTGCTCGTGTGAGAAGCGCAGCTGAGGAGGTCATGCTTGTCGCCTTTGCCTGGCCTCGCAGGTGGTACTGACAGCGGGGAGGGGCTCTTCCTCCCTGCTTCCCATTTTCTTGACCCTTTGTTCCACACTTCTGGAATTGCTAAGAGCGCTCCCCACTGATAATTCCTTTTTTTAAAAAAAAGAGATTGCATTGCCTCACCAACATAATTTTAGGAGTCCTTTGTCATATGATCCGGATGCTGTACCAAGTGCCCTGAAAATAATCCCATGTAAATGAGAATGGTGGATGTGTTATTTGATAATCTCTCTCTGAAGTGTGTGATATTGGGATTAACAGATTAAGGTGCTTCTCAGGATTGCATTTAGATGATCACTTTACTGGACGAGTTTGGGGCAAGAAGTGGGTAATCCTTGCCTCCTGTGAAAGAGTTTTGGGAACAGTTTACACCAAGAGACTCGACTTGTACTTTGAGACAAGTGGTCTGTGGTTCTTGGCTTCCAAAATTAAAGATTAAAATGTAAGCACTTAAAGATGATGTTGAAGACTTTCCATGTGGTTCAGACAACAGTGCTTTTGCATCTGTTTTTTCCTCATCTGAATTTAAGAATTACAGGGTTGGATTTTTGCTGTTAGGATAAACCGAAATATTATTTTGGATCATTCTGTATTTAAATAGTGGGGAAGTTTCCCTTTTAGTTACCTTTTGCAGGCTTTGACAGACTGATCCAAATTTTTCCTGTAGCACAATACTATTTAGCATAGGAGAAACGCACAACTTGTCCTCCAGACACAAAGATTGTAGCTCTGGAGAGATTGATAGGTTTCAGGGGTGATGTTGAACAGTTCTGAAGTATCCTGGGGGTAGATTTCTTCAAGGATGTTCATAGAGATGTGTGTGATTTTTTAAGAAGTTTTACTGCAGGATTCCTCAGTCTGATTCTTCCATCACTTATTTTCTACACAAGTACGTATTTATACACGGCACAGAACGAAGTTCTACAACTGGAGTGCAGTTTTTCTTTAATCTTTTTGAGTAACCTTGCTTTGTCTCCAACACAATGTTTACCTTTTATATCTTTGCATGGGTTTTTTTAAATGTCTCAATTCCAGCAGAACCACCACCCCCAGGAGTGTGAAACTTAGTTCAGACAGCAGTCCCTCCTCAGCGAGGACCCTGGTTTTTCAGGGGATTACTATAAATACTGTAGTCCGTAGAAAGATGTGGAAGCAAGTAGAATGGCTGGGGCTAGGAAAAAAATAATTTGGCAGTTCCACATGATTAAAACTTTTATGTGTAAAGGTAATTGAACCCTGTAACTGACTGAAAGTCAAATCCTAGGTAGTGTGCTACTATAAAGATACTGACAAATTGCAGGAATTGAAGGAAAAAAATGAGAGGGAGAGAGAGGAGGATGAGAGGTAACACAAGAAATTATTCTAGAAGTAATGTGCATGGTTTGATTAAATGCTGTGTTTGGAGGCCATGCTGGAGGCAGTTGGTGATGGGGTGGCAGAGATAGGAACAGTAAAGATGAGCAGCAGCATATACAGAAATGGGAGTCAAACAGCCTTACCAAAGGAGGAACTGCAGCATTTCCTGTCAGAGGGAAAATGGGAGCAGATTTACTGCTTGGTGAACACTTTGCAGGGCAGGGGGAAGTCTCAGCCTGGAGAGATGGACTGAATGACATAAATGGAGATGAGGGAGAGGAGTCCTCACTTCCCCTTCCCAGATTTGAGTTGCCTCCTGTGGTCTTTTGAGGTTCCTTGAGGGGAGTGTCTTGACTTTTCCACACAAGTGTTGACAGAGAAATGCTTTGCCTTTTGTTAGTCCCTCTTGAGAGGAACCAGGAAGTGTAGCTTTTCTATTGCCTCAGTGTAGTACTGTTTTTAGGGATGTGTCTTGCATGGGAGACGTCAGTGTTTTAAAGATGACCTATAGTGTCTAAATACAGACCTGTGACTGCAACTGCAAGGAAGAAAGATAGGTGTTGTTAACAGGTGTGTTTCAGAGTAGCCTGCTTAGTGCAAAATGCATGTCATTTGGCTCAAATGATCAGAATTACCTAAATAATGAGCTTGTTACAGGCATGTGAGCCTTTTCTGCAACTTCTGAGAGAAGACAAAGGGTACAAACTTGTCAGCAGTGTTACCTTTCCCAAAGGTGTTTATGGTGCGGTATGCGTGAGAAGGCAATGAAACTCAAGCTTATTTTAAAATAAAGTGCTGTACGTAATGAATATTCAGCTTTTCATGGAAGAACTCAGCTGTGATACAGGGCATGCTCTGAAAACCGATTGAGGCTTTTCCTCAGTCCACCTCACAAGGTTACTAGGTTAATGATTAGTTAAGGAGAATGTTTTATATCAGCCAATGCTGCTGGCGAGCAATACTGTTAAGGCACTTTAATCAACAGCAAAAGGCAGACTCCAAAAAAAGTTATTAATGTTGACCTTCTCCCTTCTTATTCAGTCCTCTAGGCTGGGCATTTTTTGGTTGTTGGGTTGTTTGGTTTTTTTTGAGGGGGCAGTGGAGGAGGAGGGGGCGGGGGTTATACGACCAGCTGGCAACACTACTGATGGAATCAAATGCTGGTTCTTACCAAAGTTTGTTACTCCCATGATCAAGATACCGTGGCTTAAAGTATTTTTTTAAACACTTGATTATGGAGGATTTGGTACAATCTAGAAAACAATCATCAGAAAAGACTGATGCTGTCCTCCAGTAGAAAGAGGATTACTTGTGATTTCATTAGTTTTAGTACAGAAGTGGAAAACAACTTACAATCAAATCTAAGTTGGAGAGATCGAAATCTCTCCAACCGGTTTGGATGAGAAAGCAGTTGCATAGACTGGAAGCTGATTGAGAAGCCCAAAACAAAGGCAGTGTGTTTCCTGAAGGAAGAAAAATGTTTAAGGAAGTGAATATAGTGATGAGTGCCATTTAGTTTAACACCTGTTAGGGCAGAGCCCTTACTTATGTAGTACATAGTGATGAAATTCTTAAGGTGCACTACAGAAGGAGTTTGCTGCAGGGACATAAATGTAATACCATGGTATTATAGATGCTGATAGGATTTCTCAAAGGAAGGTGCAGACTTTCCAGTTGCGGTCAAGATGTGTTTGTGGTCAGTATGAGGGAAAGGTTAGCAAACAGGAATTTCAAGATGTAAATCTGGCTTCTAACAAGTAAGATGCAAGTTCGCAGTGGCATTGGCAAAGAGGCCATTGGTGCAGTTTTGGGTTCTGTGTACAAAAGGCTTACGTTGCCGAAGGATGCCTTATCAGAAATGAAAGCAAATTGAGGGAATTGGAAGAAGAGCGCCTTCCCCTAGTCAACTACAGCAAGTTTTCGCTATTTTCCCATTAAAGGGTTTAGCTAAACTGTTTCGGTGACTGTTACCTTTAGTACTCCAGCTTGGACATCTGTAGTTGAGCGCTTTGCTCAAGTGAATTAGGGGACTTAGTAAATTTTACTCATTTACTTGTTATTAACTTTGCCTATGAAGGTGATGCTGTATCTGGTAATTGTTTTCTGCTTTTAGAACTTGTCTACCCATAGATTTCAAGACTAAGGCTGAAAGGCTGGGAGTCGTACTGCTCTAGTCTGAAACTGCCGGTGAACTCCATAGTAATTGTGACTTAATGCTTGCATTGGCACTGCATCACAGCTGCAGTGCACAGATGTATTAAATGCAGAGATTAAGTTGTCCTCTTGTCTGTTCGCTGAAAAGGGCACCATTAGTAATGCAAAGTTATGACTGACTAATTGGGAAGTCATACATTTAAATAAACGTAGCTCCAAAGCTACATGTGTTAGGTTAAAATCTGTTGTAGAATTTCTGCCGAGAACTAAATGATTTCAATCTGTTTTTAGGTGTCTTTGTGTCCAGTGTTGTTCTGGTCTTACAACAGCGAGCACTTTTCAAGTTTTACATGATCACCTCGGCATTTCTGCTGGCTGCAACTTCAGTGTTGGTGAATTACTATGCTTCTTTGCACATAAACTTCTACAGTGCCTACTACACAGCCGCGTTTGGAATTCAGATCTTCCCTCACAAAGGACCTTCACTATGGATGGCACTTTCCATCCTTCAGCTCACCTTTGGAATTGGATATGTTACATTGCTAAATGTGCAGTCCATATACTCTCAACTCATCATCCTGGATATACTGATTCCTGTAATTGGCTTGGTTGTTGAACTACCGTTAAATGTCCGGCAGATACTAGTTTTTATTTCAGGCCTAGTTCTGACACTAAATACCACAGCCATTTTAGTTATGAAAATTAAATGGTTCTATTATTCGGTACGATATGTTTATCTGCTGGTGAGGCACATGTATCGCATTTATGGATTACAGCTATTGATGGAAGATACATGGAAAAGGATTCGGTTTCCAGCTGTACTGCGTGTTTTCTGGCTAACGAGACTTACAGCACAAGCTGTGGTATTAACATACGTTGTAAAGATGGCTGAAACTAACACAGAAGAAAAATTCTTCTTGCTCTCATGGGATGACTGTTGGGAACTCATTTGCAGTCTGATCATAAGTGGGTGTGACTCTACTTTAACTGTGTTAGGCATGAGTGCTGTCATTTCCTCAATAGCGCATTATTTGGGACTCGGTATCTTGGCCTTCATTGGATCAACTGATGAGGATGACAAAAGGCTTGGTTTTGTAGCGCCTGTCTTGTTTTTCATTTTGGCTTTGCAGACTGGTTTAAGTGGACTGAAACCAGAAGAACGATTGGTTCGCCTGAGTCGAAACATGTGCCTTTTGTTGACTGCAGTCCTGCATTTTATCCATGGAATGACAGACCCTGTGCTGATGTCTCTCAGTGCCTCCCACGTGTCATCATTTCGCAGACACTTCCCTGTACTGTTTGTTTCCGCTTGCCTTTTCATCCTTCCAGTTCTGCTCAGTTACATCCTCTGGCACCACTATGCACTAAATACGTGGCTTTTTGCAGTTACAGCGTTCTGTGTAGAGCTTTGCCTGAAAGTAATAGTTTCTATCACTGTTTATATACTGTTTATGATTGATGGCTACTATAATGTGCTATGGGAAAAACTTGATGATTATGTCTATTATGTTCGTTCAACCGGCAATATTATTGAGTTTATATTTGGAGTAATCATGTTTGGAAATGGAGCTTACACAATGGTTTTTGAATCGGGAAGCAAGATTCGTGCTTGCATGATGTGTCTACATGCATACTTCAACATCTACTTGCAAGCAAGGAATGGCTGGAAGACTTTTATAAGTCGCCGGACTGCTGTTAAGAAGATAAACTCGCTTCCAGAGGTAAAAGGAAGTCGGTTAATTGAAATAGATGATGTCTGTGCAATCTGCTACCATGAGTTCACCACCTCTGCTCGCATTACTCCATGCAACCATTACTTTCATGCACTTTGTCTCCGGAAGTGGCTGTACATTCAGGACACTTGCCCGATGTGCCATCAGAAAGTGTATATTGAGGACAAGGAAAATGCCAGTGTCTCTAACAACAACGGGTTTGTGGCACCAAATGAAAATCCTGTACAAGTTGCAGAGGAAGCTGCTGATGCTGAAAATGAATTAAATGAAGATAATGACAGTTCCGATAGTGATGAGGAAGATGGAGACTGTGTGGCACAGCACTTGAATGCTACTCTTAATGTTGACTCTAACTCTCTTGGTGATTAAGATATCCTTTACTAAGCCGTGAGGTATTTGTTTAAGATTGACTTCAACAGAATAAAATAAAAGTATCACTTTGTAGTTATTGTACTTAAGCACAACAGCAGTATCTCAATGTTGAGTCTGTGAATGGTGGTCGTTTACTGTGGTGTGTGCTACTGTAAATATACCTCTAATTTTTGCTGGTCTCTTTCATGACCACCTTAAAATTATGTACATTATTGTACATGGAATAAAATGTTTTCACATGTTTTTAAGATGGTTGGAAAAACAGTCTTTAATTGATGTAGTGATAATGCTGTGCCAAAGACTGTATACCAGTAATCCCCAATCAGTAAGTTCTGGATGCAAATGAAAAATACTGGTGAAAACAGACTGTTCAGCTGGTTAAACCAGAAATGAAAAGCCTGAGCCAAAGCAGCTTTACTTACAACTTCAGCATTAGCAGAGCTTTATTGCTAAAAACTAGTGAGTTGTGTTTTTTAAAAAAATAAATAATTTAGGTTGGTAGACCTAACATTATAGCATTTGCATATGTGGAACAAAAGATGAAACTGCTAAGCTTTCTGGTAAAGCATGTATTGATGTGTTAAACTCTTCTGAATTACCAGTAGTAGCTTGAAGTGCTCTACATGTGAACTTGGCAGCCTGGTATTCATCTTGTAATGCATACAGGTATTAACAAGAGTTGTTAGCTTGGGCTGTCCTTGAAATCAATCCTGAATCTTGATGAAAGGGAAACAGGGCTGAGAAACTGCACAAATGCAGACCACCTTTTCAAAAGCAGCTTTAATCTTGTACCATTAAAAAAAAAAAACCACCAAAAAAACTACATATTGGCTTCCATTGATAAGAACTTGCAGATACAGTAATTTTAAAGTTTTTGCAATGTATTTACTAAAGTTATGCTGAATAAATGTAAGAAAACCAACTTTATATATTTGGAAAGAAGACTTTAATAGTGTTGTTATATAGAGTATTGGCCAATTCAAGTGGGTCATCTTCTCTTACTGCTGCCATTATTTCCAGTATTTGACTAAAAAAGAAAGATTGATATTAGAAGACTCTGAAACTCAGTACTGAATATACTTCAGACTGCTGCATGTGTATGTACAAGTCACTAAGATTAACCTGGAATAAAAAAACCTATGGTGAGAGCAGCAGGGCAAGGTGCTCAGATATGCAAATAGCTTCACTTTTAAGTCACTAACTAACTGCCATTCCCTTTACACTGAACACTGATTGCTCACAGGTACAGATGCATCTTTGGTCTTTTGACTCTTGTTTGGAGGTAATTAAACAGCTTTCTGTTTCAAAGAAAGTGTCATTTTGTGGGTGTCTTTATCAGTGGTCTTCATTTTTCAGACTGAAATTCATTAGCTTTTCAAGGCTAAAGCTGCACTATGAATAAACTGGTCTATGGCAAAGCTTAAATGCCAGGTACAGCCTTAGCTGAGAGTATAGCTGCCAAAGTAACTTACTCTTCCTTCCCCGTTCTCTAGCTTAATTTGGGATTAACACAAGCAGATATTTGCAGTAAACATTAAATGAGGAATTTTTAAAGGCCTGTAGCTTGGTGGTAGGGTTTGGTGGTTTTGGTTTTTGGATCTTGCCTCTTGTACAATAGCTAAACTTCTTTTTGAGGAAGTCAGAGTAGAAAAAGTTGCTCTTAGCAGTTACTGGAATGCAAATATTTTCCTAGATGCAGAATTAGGCCATTTCATGTCCGCTCTGTGCTTTGCAGCCAAACAGCTTCTTGATTTAAGGGGATGTTCAAGATGAGATGGGGTGAGATCATCAGGCCTACATAGAAGTAAGTAACAAACACGAAAGAATTTCACCCTTGAAGAGTCTTGGTAGGGCTTACGTATCTATCCCCACTTGGACGCAGTAGGATGCTGCGTGTTACTGCAACACTGTGTATATGAAATCACTGAAGGAGAAAAAAAAAAGGCTGCTTGTGGCTAAAATTAAAAAAAAAAGCAGCTTCCAAGGGGAGTAGTGCAGTTCTAAAAATATAAAGAAGAAACATCACCATCAAAATTGAAAGGTGTCCAGCACCACCAAAAAAAGACAAGTGGAAAATTCCTCCTGCCAACTGAGCTATATTAAACAGTGTATATACCCTAAACATTAAATAGGCTTTGTGGCTTGAGTCTAACTTTCCCCTCACACCAGATCTTGCTACTTGAGAAGTCACAAAATACCAATTCCCAGTTATCATACCTCATTTTTCCTAAGGTTTAGGGGGTTCTCAGGTTACTGATCTACAATTAGTACGGGTTATAATTAACATTAAAGGGACAGTAATTTTGAAATAAGGTTGAACTAAACAAGCTTTTGTTCTATAAAAGAAAGCAAAAGCCAAAGTATAGTGTTTATGTACCACTTTAGGACAGACTCCATGGATGTCCAGTTCTGGAGTTTCTGAAACACTTCTGTAAACTACAACTAAGGCAGCAGACAAAGATGCAGTGGTCTTAACACATACAGGCTTGCTGAAGCAGCCTTAATCACTAATAGTAGAAGTCGTCTTCTTGTGATCAGAAAACACTTTTCCGTTGATCTCTTGCCCTACTCCAAAATCATGGACTGACTCTAGAAAGTCTTAAAATACTGAAAGAGCCCTTCCCTGCTAATGTCTGCGCTTCGTGTTTAAAACACAAATCAATTTCAAAGAGTATTAACATAACTGCAGAAAATGTATCTGAACACTAAGAGCTGTCACCATGTAAGCTTAAACTATGCTTTCAGCATGACCAGTGGTCTTCCAAGTTTCTTCAGGTCTCCCAAAAAAGCAGCAGAATTCCCTTCAGTTCTCAAATAAACTCTTCTTTAGACACCTTGCTGAATACCTGGATGCTTTAGTACTAGCCTGAGCACTACTTCAAAAAGCTAGTTCCAAACAGGTCATTTAAAAGTTTTCACAGAAATATATACAGACCTCACGGGGGGGGTGGGGGGGGGAATCCCACTTCTGATCAAGTAAATGGTCTTTGCACTTGAATAGGTACAGCTGTGAGCTTTATTTGCTGAAAATTCATTCACGTACTGCACCGCAAGAAGAAACCTTCCTGAATTGCTTTTTCTTTTCAAAGTTGATAACGAGAACATGACTGAGAAGATCAGCATAACTCACTGACCAGACTTTAGTAACAGTTGTGAAGATTCAGGCTATTTGGTGCTACTCTGTCGGTGCTATTTAATGGAGATAACTAAACATTTTCACTAAAACAATGATACAGTTTCCTGATTTTCACACGTCTGCAAGGAAGTGCATGAAAAGGTGGCAGAAAACGGTTTCTGTACTTTCTAACTCTGTCCATAAGCCCCTGGAGTTTTCTTTTGCTATTCTGTATGTTGACTGCTGTTATTCATATCTAAACTTCACAGGATCAATTTTTTTTTTTTTAAGCACAGTAGCAGAATGAAGAAGTGACCCTAACCAAATTAATGTTACGGCAGTTCATGTCACAGGCACTACTCTGTGTTCTCTGTACTTCCCCTGCTGTGGAGGGCTGCACATGTATCAGTTTTGAAAACAACTGGAACAACAACCAAGTGAAATACTCAAGTCAGGTTACTTTACAGGGTTTAACCCCTTCTCCAGTGTATCAAGTGAGAAGACTGGTTTCACTTTCAGGGAGCTTTTTACATCCCAAATTGCTGAAATAGGAAAATTAAGACTTAAATTTTCCCACAGCCTATAAAGCAATACCTTGCACAAGGTTCAATACATTTAGAATTCATTTCTATATACCACATTTCCAGTGAACTGATTTTTTTCCATTTTTTCTCTTGTGAGATTTGAAGCATTTTAAATAATAGTTTAAAATATTATATATTCTA